GAGGGGTGGGGGTGAGGGGAGGGAGAGGGAGAAGGGATTGATATGTGAAACAAGCTTGTTCCTAATTTGAACTAATAAATTTTTTTTTAAAAAAATGCTTGGGTTTTAGTTTTTTACAGACATTGTCAAGTTGACAGCCAGGATTGGTCATCACAGCCCTTGTTTACTCCCTGCTGCCCTTTCACTCCAGGTAGCATGTCCTTGGCTCCTGGGCTCTTTGTGATTTCTGACCAGCCTGTAGGGTTTTCTTGACATTTCCTTTCTTATCTATTTCCCTCCATATTCTCAGAACCACCCTTTATCAGCTCTGCCCATGCTCTCTAAATGGAAGGCTTGTGTTTGTATTTTGTTTATCAACTCAGATTGGAGCAAGTTGGGCGGTTAGGGCCAAGGAGGTCAACTGTTTGGCTCTCAAAAGCTCTTGGGACTGCCATCATGGCTCACTTCTTAGAGAGGACTTGCCTTGTGTGACAACCCTAGTACATTTGCATAGTTTGCTATTTGTTATTAGATTTGAAGGTGACACTGTGCTGGGACCCTTGTGTACAGAATATGTGCTATCAGGGTCCAAAGATATCTGGGGCAAACCTATTATTGATCATATTCAAATGCAGTTGTTTTCAACTTTCCTAATGCTAATACAATTCCTCATGTTGTCATGGCCTCCAAACAAAACATTATTTTCATTGCTACTTCATAACTGTAATTTTGCTACTGTCATGAATCATAATATAAATATCTGGTATTTGCCCCCAGTGAAATGGTCATTTGATATCAGGATACATGATATGTGACCCCTGTGATAGGGTCATTGAATCCCCAAAGGAGTCTCAATCCCCAGGTTGAGAACTGCTCCTCTAAGGTAATTCCTCTCCTATTTCCGGTATCAGTGCCTTTCCTAAATTGCATGTTTTGTGGCTTCCAAGTGACTTGATATATCCCAGCCTTACTTGGCTACCTGACTTAAGTACAGGATGAGCTGTGTTCATAAAGGCCTCAAATGGTAGTGACTCTGTCCCCAGTTGCATGAGTCACTCCTTGCCTATTAATACTGAGCCACACATGAGCTTCTTCCCATTCCTAGCTTGCATGGTATATGTCTGGTACTTGGCTAAAGCGCTTTTACGTGAAAGATTTCCTTTTGCTTATACAGCTCTGGGATATGCACAGCACTGTTATGCAGATTTTAGAAATGGAGGCTATAAATAACTTAAGCTCATATAGCTACGAAATTGGTAGCGCTGAGTTCACTGTGTGACGATGGCCCTGAGTTCTTCATCTCTGCCCCACATGGCCTATTTGTGTGTAAGCTGGTTTCTCCCATTGGCTCTTAAAGTTTTGAAGATAGGGACTGTGACTTCCATATTTCGTATATAAGAAACGTGCCTGAAATATGACAGATGCACAATAAAACATGCTTGATGACAGGCAGATGGAATAAATAACCGAATATATTCCAGACAAGCCCCTGTATAAGAACTAAAGTTGCCGGGCATTGGTGGCACATGCCTTTAATCCCAGAACTCGGGAGGCACAGGCAGGCGGATCTCTGTGAGTTCGAAGCCAGCCTGGCCTCCAGAGTGAGTGCCGGCATAGGCTCCAAAGCTACACAGAGAAACCCTGTCTTGAAAAACAAAACAAAACAAACAAACAAACAAAAAAGAACTAAAGTTTTCAGGTAGCAAGAAGAATGCCTCTGTGGCTAAGTAGACTGGCTCCCCTTCCAGAGGATATGGGTTTGATTCCAGCACCCACATAGCCGCTCACAACTGCCTGCAACTCCAGTTCCAGGGCACCCAATGCCTTGTCAGCCTCTGTAGGCACCGGGCATGTAGCAGAGACATTCATGCAGAGAACCTTCTCATGCACACAAAATAAAAGTAGATAAATTTAAAACAAAAAGTAAGAGAAAAGAAAGCTCTATGAGTTGGCTGAACACGGCATTGGCTCAGAATCTTGAACTTGTCCCAGTTTCTTGAGGGGTAAGGATCTTTTCTTCTGCTTAGATAGGCTGATTTTTCCTAATAACATCCTTTTTTATTGTTGTTGTTGAGTAAAAACATATGTGCTAGCCATGTATACTGTGATTTTTTATTATAAAAAAAGTTGCAGGGGAGTTAAAAAAATAAAAGATTTTAAAAAAATAAGATATACTTAAAACATGTTACCATATATGGAATGATTTGTAGAAAGGAAAATTTTTTTCTCCTGAAAACATACTTCTAGTAATGAGTGAATCATTAGATATATTTCTAGGATGAGAGAAAGGCTAGAAATCTGTGAGAAAGATCATTGTTGCATATTTTTAATGTCTTCTGCTTCTCAATTTTGCTCTTAAAAATTAAATGGGCCCAGATATTTAGTTTGCTTGAGTGAACCCATTTATAAGGAAAGGAAAAAAAAATGTTTTTTAAATGATTTATCTGTTTGAACTCTCTGAGTGGTAGCAGCCACCTGGGTGCCTATAAAGGGTTGTAATTATTTAATTACCCTATTAGTTGGGTTTTTGTCTTAGAGTGCTTGTACGTTTTTTAAAAACAAAAACAATTTCTCCAAAAATATTTCCACGAATAGCTTCATGAGGCAAAGTACTGAAGCACAAACTATTGAGTGAATTCCTCCAAATGAGAGAAAGCAAAGAAAAATGAGCTTCCACAGCCCTTTTCCCAGAAGTTCTCCTTGAAGAAACCTGCATTCATTGGTCTGTCTTCAGAGACTTGACTGGTGAAGGTTAACAGGCTGGGAGAATTTACAGTTAATCTTTGGGTGAAAATTAAAGGCAAAGGGTGGGCACAGTCTTTTAAAGCTATTAGCAGCATAGGCTGGAGCCAGAAAGATGGGTCTCTGCTGTCCACATTCCCCCCCAGGGATGAGTTCCTAACCTTGGCTGCAAATTAAAGGAGGCTGGGTATCTGAGATGCCGTGTACTGTCAGGGGGCACCCCTGATTCTGTTTTACTTTTACTGGTGAGTAACCTGAAGCATCTCAGAGGATTACAAAGTTGGACCCAGCCTGAGTCATCATGGAGGAATTTCAAATAACCTGAATAACTGCTAATGGGGTAACTAAGAAGTGAAGGTGGCCTCTGCCTTTGCTGTAGAAAAGGAACCCCAGAATGAAAATCAGGTGAAGCACGGCCCCCACTCTACAAGCTGGTGATCCATATCTTTGCTACTAGTCTCCCCTGGACAGGAAGACATGGGAGCAGGATGTGTCAGAAACCCTGACTCAGAGTAAACCTTTGGAATTGAACTCTGTCTGCTTTCTTACAAGATCCCCAAGAGACTGACTCACTTACACAGGGAAGTTTGAGAAGTCTAACCCAGACAGTGTCCAGATGCAACAGAATAAATAACTAACGGGAAAGGCTTGCCTGTTGTGGGAGTCATAAAAGGCCTACAAGTCATACAAGGCTTTTGGTGGTAATTGGCATGTCTTCATAACAGCTTTGGCTCCTGGACATTCTTGTGTGATTAGAAAGTACCTGTATGTGGGGCCTTTCCTGCCCCCATCTTATCTTATCTTGTAAGGGTGGTTGCAAATGTGTTTGTGGCTGGTAGTAGTCTGCCTCATGGCAGATCACTCTTATCACACATTAGGCCTAGCTAGAGATTATAGAATTGGTCAGCAGTATACACATGTTGTGTGGGAGCAATGCTGTGTGGAAGCACACAGGGTGGGCTAAAAGTAAACACCATGTTTTCTCCAGGAGCAGAATATACAGGAGACAGGAATATACAAATCCCATCTCCAGTGGAAGGCCGGTGTGGAAAGGGTGCTGGAAGAAGCAGGGACTGTCAGTCCCTTCAGTTGACTGTCAATCTCAGCTTCAGACCTGAGAAACTGTGCCTCTGCTAATGTCATTCAACTGGAGCTCTTGGGAACCCTTTTTTTAGGGATGATAGCTGGGTCCCCTGACCTTTCCTGGGGCCTCTTCTGACTGCTGAACTGAGATTTGAGCCAGTACAACTCCCATGTTCCTAAAACATGTCAACAATGACCCCAGGCAAATTTCCAAAGGCTTGTTATACAAACTGGAAAGAAAACACAAGTATCGTCCTTGTTTGCTTATTTTTTTTTTTTGTCACACATTTCAGTTTGTCATTTTGTTAGCATTTTTTAATGTTGTTAAACATTACTTGACAACAGGATTTTTAATTCCTGTGAAGTTTTTATATTCTGGTATACATGCTATGCTTCTAATTGTGACTTGTAAATAATTCTGTAGTGCTTAGTCCTAAAATTAAATATAAACATGCATCTCCTTTTTAGTGTATATTCATAGAAAGTAACTTATTGAATTAGAGGGCTTAAAATTTTCTAAGATTTTTTGCATGTAGTTTGTGAAGTTTCCAGCTAGAAGTGAATGGTTTTTTTAAAAAACCTTACTCCTATCAGAGGGAGGTATGTTTCGGTATCTGTGATTGAAAGGCAAAAAATAGTATTTGTAAGTTGTAATTTGTATTGAATTACTTTGCTTATTGATACACACATGTACACACACACACTATATATGCATTTATATGTACATGTAT